TATATATATATAATATATATATATATTTATATATATATATACATATATATATATATATCATTTATATATATATATATATATATATATATCGCACTCATAGCTTACCAACGGCCACCTCAGCGACGAAGACGTAAGCTCTAGGCTGAGTAGTGCTTGCGTTGTTGTTCTGTAGGACCGAGCTGTAACCCAGAGACTTGGACATTTGATCCGCAAAGTACACCTGCAGATGAAGTACGGCGATATTTCGGTTATAGTGTACTGTGTGGTGAAGTATGGACAGTCTTTCTATCGCTAAGCGGATAACTTGAGCATTATCTGGTGCAGATATCCGCCATTTGCAGTGCGAGCGAATCAGAAGAGGTGTTGCAGAGTATATGAGAACGGGTCAGGCGTAAACGAGCGTAAGGCAGCGAGAAGGGGAGGGGGTTAGCTGCACAAATAACAATGAATGGGCTCCCCTTACAGATTGAACATGCACAGTTAACGCAGCTAGGTTGGTTGTCTGTGAGTGCAGATACATACCCCTTTGCCGTATGCCAGGCCTGTCCTGGGCGCGTCCGGCGGGGCAATGCGTAAGCCTTGCTTGATGATGCCGCACAGATTAGTGGTCTTGGAGCCATGGAACAACAGCTGCTTGTTACCTACAGCCCCTGTCGGGTCACACACACCCGCACTGTTGCGGGTCAGAGAGAATATATTGTTCACCACCATGTCGCTATACCCATCGGACGTGTTGTCGATATAGGCCAGTAGGCATTGGGCTTCGGGATGGGTGATAGGTAGCACCTCCATGTGCATGTCCAGGGCCTTGTACGCATAGTCCAACGGGTGCAATTCCTTCCTTCGCAACCTGTGAATTAGAAGTAACGTGTAGTGCCCATGATGAGCTTGCAGCGTAATAGCCTATACGATAGGTGTTTAGGGGTTTAGAGGTTTAGGGATTTAGGGAGGGCTTAAGATGGGCACCTGAGGTGTGTGGGCCGATAGTGCGTATTCAGAAGAGCGTGACTCTAGTGCCTCTTGAGAAATTTATCAAAGTTGCAACAACGACTGCTACGTACGTCCATTAGACAATAGAAAACATATCTCAAAAAAATGGAAAACATAGCCCAAAAAATGGAAAACACACCCTCATAAATCCACCAAAATTGGAAAACATAGACAAAAGTAAGTATAAATGTGCATCGCCCACACAACTAAACAAGCGTGTATACAAACATGCATGTAGCTCCATGCACACAGCGACAAGCGCAATCCTTGTACTATATACATTAGTGATACGACAAAAGCTCCCATGAACGCAACGGGCCAACTGTGGAACCTGGCTGAGATAGTCAACACGGTAGAGTCGAGTGTCAATATAATCCCCTCATTGCATGGTTCTCCATGCAATCCCCTCCTTGAATGGTTCTCCATGTAATCCCCTCATTCCACTGTTTGCCATACCTAGCTCCCAGCAACACCTGTCTGGCCACGCTCAGATCCTTAAGCACGCGCACCATCTCTACGGCCTTGCCCAGCGCAGTCTTGTGGTTCTTCCTGGAGAATGCCTCCACAGCTCCGCCGGCCCCCTCAGACATGGGCATGAGCTCATAGAACTCATTTGTGAGCTTGGCCACACGTTCGAAGTGGGTGCGTACACCGTCCACTGTCTTATCCCGGTGGTTACACGCGGCAGTCAACTCGTCGAGGGCTGTACTGACATCTGTGAGTACTTGCTCGGCCTATGAATAGGCATACAGATTGTACATAGGCGGTGGGTGTGCGGTTGGTGATAGCATGGGATCTATACGTATATCTGATGCGTTTTATGTGTAGACGTGACTGAGTGGAATATACATCGGCGGTGTGCGTGTTTAGTGATAATACGATATCAATACATATTTCTGGTGGGATGTATGTGGTATCTCGTCTCTTGTCTGAGCGACACTCGTATGATGTAGTGCACACTAAGTGTAGCAGGGAAGCACATGCTTAAAGCGTGCGCACTAGCCAACTATTCTGCCACGAGCGCATTCCGAATCCAATCCCATGTGTGTTGGCCAATACACCCGCGTAGCGGGGTGAAGTCATTCTGTCCGGTAGGTATATCCTGGGATCTCTAAGATCCCCCTTCCTATACATACACACATACATACATACATAAGTACAAACCCGCAAGCACATTGACGCATATGGGTTTACGTATCTACATCCGAGAACATATAAACATGTACGTAGTTGCGTGCTACCCAGCCCAAGCTCCACCACTGCAGAATATACAAATACAGATCAATCACTGCACATACCTGTGCGAGTGTCTGCACACTCACTAGACCCAATGGCAGACCCCCCTGGTCCAGGCCAATACTCTTGGCAGCTGCCGAGAGAGCCTTGACATCCAGCATGGCTGCTAGTGCAGTTGCCACGTGCTTGTTTAGTGTTGGGTTCGGTAAGTGTTCGTCCGCCTCAATAGCTGGTAGGAGGCTCCTGGGATCCTCGACCTTTGAGTGTGGTCTGTGTGTGAGGATTGGTATGTGTGCAGAGATGAGTGTCCCTGTCACTTAGGTCCAGATATTTGGGGCCAGATTGACTGGTCCAGAAATTTAGGACAGGACAGTCCTCGAGCGCTAAGCCCGATACACGATACATGAATGTCCGCACTATGTAATGCATGTGGGGTGCAGTGACAATCTACGTACAGGAGAAAAACCCTACACCACACGCACACCTGCGAACCATCTGGTACTTCTTGGGTTTGCGCTCGAACATCTCCGGCGATCGGTTGGCCCATTCATTGCCCGTTTTGCTTTTGTACACCTTTCGGAACTCATTGATTGCACCCTCCCGGTCCTGAAATGGGGTCTCTTGGTGCAGGCCATCCTCACCGATACGTCCCCAATTGGTCAGTAGGATGAATACCTGGGGCGGATAAGGGCAAATGGGATATGCGTGTAGAGTTTTAGGGATTTTGTGTATCAGACTAAGGCGAATGGGATATGAGTGTCCTATTCTGCTAACATACACATACATGCAGGATCAGCTATACAAAAACTCATATACACATTATCCCTGCCTTCTCTCGCTTTCGCGTGTGTTTTGTGGTTCAGGGTTTAGCACGTGTGTCTTGTTCTGACCAATCACTAAGCTCACCTTCTGCACCGGATCCACAATCACTTGCATGCGATAGAAGACGTATTTGCCATATGTGCCGTACTGCACATCCACTTTGCTGAGTGTGACATCGTAGTACGCGCTGGTAGAAGCGCATATTCCCGTGTCTGTCAAGTGGTCAAACAATACGTTACTTAAACATTGGTCGAATCTGTATGTGAATGATTGTTTTTGGCCAAATCAATACGCAATGAAACATTGGTTAATTCGTTGATAAAATATAATCATACATAGAACTTTCAGCAATTTAAAGAATCCTTGATGGCCGTTTGACGAAACGGTTAAATACACCAAGCACGTGAAGCGATGTTGCTCACTTAGTACGATACAAACCTCACGCCTTCGTGCCAAGAATCTGAACTCTATTATGGGAGAAGGGAACCTTTGGTACAATTAATATGACAGTTCTTAGACGAAACTCTGCTCAATACTATACACAGGCATCCGCTGAGTATGTGCACCAATGCCTATTAGGTCATAAGGCGAGATACCACAGCACGCACGCCGGCGAGTGAAGGACATAATCCCTAGCAACCACCCTAGCAACCGTTTACCTACCTTCTTGGCCGCACTTGAGCACCTGTAAGCCCACACTCTGCTGCTCGCACACCTTGCTCACAGTGGGCACCACCTCCACTGTACCATCGGCGCCTGCGCTGTGTAGCGCCTCCAACTGCTTCTCAGCATCACCTTCAAGATCAACGAACGCACCGGCCATATCAGTGTCACTGTTGGTTTGGGGATGTGAGAGTGTCAGAGGCCATATATATATATATATATACACACACAATTATATATATATATACATACATACATACATACATATATATATATATATATATATATATATATATATATATATATATATATAGTACGTACGTACGACGAGTACGTACGTACGTACGTAGGTACGTAAGTAACTACTACGTTAGTAGTACGTAGAGACGAACGACCACACGACTACGTACCTCGTC